CGGCCGGCGGCGGCGCACTTGCATCTTCTGGGCAGGTGCCTCGATGTGGGGGTTCAGATAAATACGCGGCCGCGCGCCCCGAGCGCCGGCCGTGCCGGGCCGCCTAGCTGCTGGTGAACTTGTCCAGGTTGTAGTTTCTCAGGGACAGGAACTCCAGCAGCTTGCGCCCCGGGCTGGCCACCAGGACGCTGGTCCACAGGGGCGTGCCGTAGTACAGCTCCTCCCGGCGCAGCGCGCCCCCCTTGAGGATCTCCAGGGCGCACTCCTCCTTGGGGGACCCGTGGGCGTTGAGCACCCCGGCCACTGCGTTCATGGCTGTGTCTGCGGGGACGAGAAGAGAGTGGTGTCTGCTCAGCTGTTGGGGTGTCCGGGGCAGCTGCTCGGGGAAGACCTGAGTCCCCTGGGGCGTGGGGGCCCCGCGGCACTTGAGGGGCTGCTGCTTTCAGACAGGCTTAGGGTTCCCACAGTGTGTGTCCCGGGGTGCGGGGTGGCCTGCTGAGGCTGGACCCACACTCCTCTCTCGGGAGTGCTGTCCGGGGTGAGGGTGTGGTGGGGGTCAGCGTGAGGACAGAGGCCCAGGATGTCCCACGGCTGGTGGGGAGGCGCGCGTCGGAGAGGAGAGCGGAGGAGGGAGCCAGTTACTGACTGGGGGCGGGGCGTCAGGGAAGGGGCGGGGCGTCAGGGAAGGGGCGGGGCGTCAGGGAAGGGTGTGGAGTGGCAGGGAAGAGGCGGGGCATCAGGGAAGGGGTGGGGCATCAGGAAGGGGCGGGGCATCAGGGAGGGGTGTGGGTGGCAGGGGGGGGTGGGGCGTCAGGAAAGGGGGCAGGGTGGCAGGGAGGGCGGGGCTTCAGGGGAAGGGGCGTGGCTTCAGGGGTGGGGCGTGGCCGCAGGAAGGAGAGGGCGGCGTGGCCCCGCCCCCTCGCTGACCTCGCCTGTCCCCTGGCCTGTCTGCCCCTCCGCCCTCCGGTCATCCTCTGTGCCTCCCCGTCCAGCCCTGTGTCCGCCCTTTGGGTTAGTCGCCGGTCTTGACGCGGCTTTCCCTCCCTCCCCCCCAGCCTGCCCCGTGTTCTGGGCGGCTGCGCGGCCTCTCGCGTCCCCCTCGGCCTGCCGGCCCTCATCTTGGCGTCACAGAGGCCGTCGCACGGCCTTCGGGGAGGGACTGTGCCCGTGGGGTGATGACTAAGCCGCCAGTCTGATGTGTTCCCTAGTCTCCTTTCCGTGCCCCAGGGCCCGCCAGGGCTGGGCTGGCGGTCAGGGCCGCTCTCCTCCCGCCGGGCGGCGCCGTCTCTCCTCGCCACCCCCATTGAGCAGCACCGAGCAACTGTCCAGGGAGTGTCCTCCACGAGGGCTTCCCCGCTGTCCTCTCTGGACGGAGTCGGGTTCCTCTTTGGCAGGAAGGCCACCAACATGACACTGTCCTCAAGGTGTAAGTCAACAAGGCCACGGCGCCCACGTCTTACCGCTGGTGACGTTTGTATTAATATAAACCGTGTTCGGTGGGCTTCAAGGAGGGAGGTGCGGCGCCCCGGGGCCACAGACACCTGCTCTCGTGTTTCTCCACCTTACCTGTGTTGATGAGGCCGAGGATACAAAGAGTGATGGACACGTTGACCTTGGTCATTGAAAATTCCTTCCTGACCGAGGAGAAGAAGCCGTCCAGGGCAAACTTGCTTGCAGAGTAGGGAGCAATGAGTGGACTGGACATTTTCCCTAGATGACAAAGAAAAGGGTTACCAGGTGGCCTGTGACCCAACAGGAGGGAGCTTTGCTGTCCCTGCAACGGGCTCTGTGCCCCGTTACCAACCCTCCCACGGTCTGAGTCTTAGCTTCTCTCTGCTTCCTATAGAAATGCATGTGCTGTCTTGAATTTCTGCAAGAAAAAACCACGAAGATCTCAAGGAAGCGCCCCTTGACGTGCGCAAAGGGGGATCGGCTCCATCTTCAGCGAGGGTGGTAAAACGACGTGGCCCTGAAGGAGCCACGCGAGCCACCGTTGCTGACACTGTCACCTCTGACCCAAGGGAGCCCGGCAGCTGAAGACTCGGGAAGGCCTCTTCCGACACGGGGCGCCGTCACTGGCTTGCCCTCAACACGAGGGGCATGAAGACGCCCGTGCGCTTGGCTCTTCCAAATGCATTTGCTCACTGCCATCAGCCCGGCTCCGTCTCACATCGGTTTTCGGCACGTGGGACCTAGGTCCACAGGGGTCAGCCGTCGTGTGGGCCCTTTCCGAGACGAGGGCAGCGAGAACAGCTTTATCGTGAACGCTGGTGTAACAGCTTCTCTCAAATCCTTCTCTGCTGATTCTGAAGTCCTGAGTAAGTGCCATAAATTTTCCCCGTGTCGCTGATCCTGGGACATTGCCGAGTCTCTGGGTTGTGTTAGACTCCTTCAAAGAGTACTGAATGTTGGTCTGGCCCACGGACAATTCATTTGATGTGACTCTGTGCCCCTCGCAGTAGGTATCGGCTAAAATCTCTTATCAATCATTTGAATCCTGACCTGGCTCCTGGGCATCCTACTTCCTACGAGTAGTCAGAGACAAACAGATTAGGGAGGGTTTTATCTTAGGACTTTCTGTCCTTCCACTCGGGTCCGTGTCTTTCCCTTCCAGTTTCTGGTGGCTACAGAAACCCCAGACTCTTTCTTCTGATTCTTCAAGGCCGTAAGGTTCTGCCGTCGATGGGGTTTCACGCAAGGCAACCTTGGTAAACTTACCGTCATTTCTCTCTCCAGTCTCTCTCTGGGTATATAAAGTCTAAAATTTCTGTAGGCCAAAGTCACTACACTGGCGTGGTCACAAAAGAAAGGACCAATGACAAAGTAGAAAACCATTGCACCATACGAGACAAAAGCTCGCCATCCTCACCCTTGATACAGAGAGGACTCAGGCGCGCACACAAGCGGTGTGGGAAGGCCCCGCTCCAAGTCTCAGCGGGCGAGGACCGCCCCGTCGGGCTCAGGGGTCACCACAAGGGGTCACTACCGGCCACGGGACTTCCGTCCGCTGTCGGCGCAGCCAGAGCCCAGCAAACCTGGCTTCCCCGGGGCTCCCCCGGGAGCAGCGGCTGCCGGCTTCTCTGCTCATCCCCCGCCCTTCCTCCCGAGGCTCCGGGGTGCTGACAGCCCCCCGCCCCCCAGCCCTCAGAGCAGGCTGCGTTGGGCCTCCCGTCTCTGGAAGTGGGGCTGGCTCCTCTTGGGCGTCTCCCTCATTTTTTTTTTTTTTTAAGATTTATTGATTGATGCAGACAGAGCTGGGGTGCAGGCCAGAGGCGCGGGGGCGGTGAGAGGACTCCCCAGAGACAGAGCGGGGAGCAGGACAGGCCGACGGACGAAGCCCACGGCTGAGGGGAGCAGCGGGGAGACAGGAGGCGTCTGCTGCGCCCTCGGGGTCCCCTGGGGCAGGCGGGGATCGAACTCGCGCTGAAGCGGCTTTAGCTTCTCAGAGCTGCGCTCTAACCCGCCGCACCCCCAGGGAGGGCCGGGTCTCCCTCATTTTCAAGATCCCCACATGCCGAAGGAAAGTGGGTATCCGCCCTCGGGGCCTCCTCTGTGATGCTCCGTCCCCTCCTTCCTGCCTGGGATTGGTGCCAGTGAGGATTCTGCTGGGTCCTCTGGGAGTGTTTGTTGTTCTTCTAGAAGTTTCTGAAAGTCTCTGCTGGACGCTGGGGGCTGGGGTTGGGGGCTGGGATGTCACAGCACCTCTCCCGGCCAGCCGGAGCGGCAGCCGCACGCGCAAGACAGAAGGGCCAGAGGCTGGTGGGGACGGAGAGCCCAGGCCCGGCCACGTCTGCAATAAAGCCCCCATTGTCCAAGCCAGAATCAGGTCCAAATTATTTATAAGAATAGCACAGTGGGGGGAAGCCTGCAGAGTCAGATGACTGGGGAAGGCGCCCAGGCTGCCACTCTGGAGCCGTGCCGCGCGGGCGGGATCGGCCCTGTGCTGGACGCTGGCCCTCTGCGGGTCGGGCAGGAGCCCTGACCGGTGCACGGAGGCGCCAGCGAATGCTGCTGTTAGTGGCACTGAGTTGGCAGAAAGCCCCTCGCCCGGGGCCGAGCGCTCGCTCCCTGGACATCAGCAAAGTGCCAGTCCCTGGGGGCGCAGGGTGAGGGTCAGCCCCTGCAGCGCGAGTTCGATCCCCGGCCCCGGAGGCGACCCCCAGGGCGCGGCAGGGCGCGGCTGCCCCCCTCAGCCGCGGGATTTCCGGGGATCCGCTCTGCCTTTGGGGAGTCTCCCTGCCATTTTATGCACAAGTAGCTGACTCCTCAGTAGGAAAATGCCGCTGTACCACAATTAAATTATATTCGCGAGTGTGTAAGCGGAGACGGGCGACTGCGGCCCCCAGGCGAGACGCAGAAAACGTGCAGTCTGAGGCGTCCACTCTGCGAGGGGCGGGGGTGACCCCCGCGGGGCTGGGGTTTCTGAGGCCCCGGCGTACGCGCCTGCCGGCTAGCACCTCGCTGCACGTCCCGGCGGAAGGATTTGCCCCCCTCCG